CTTCTCTTCAGCTTCTAATCTAGCTTTTTCTTCTGCTTCTTGTCTTGCCTTCTCTTCTGCCTCTTGTCTAGCTTTCTCTTCAGCTTCTTTTTCCTCGGCTTCTTTCTTTTCACTCGATATTACTTCTTCAGTCTTTGTTGTACTTTCGTCACTCTCACAAGTTTTAGTTTCTTCGTTAATTTCTTTTTTTTCTTCTGTTGCATTTTCAGATTTTTGTTCATCCTTTTTCTCGTCGATTATTTGTTCATCACTATTTTGGATTATTTCTGGTTTTTTTTCTTCGGTTATTTCTTCATTAACAATAGGAACAGCATTATTCTCTTCAGTCATTGTGGCTTTTATTAATAAACAGTTCTCATTCCAAACCCTTCCAACTACTCTTTTTTTATTTTTCTTTCAATGCTCTTTCATTTAATAGTTCTTTTGTGTTAATTTTCATAACACAACAAAAAGAAAGAAATTGAATTAATTTTGTTCGAGACAAGGAATGAACCAAGACTCTATCTGACCGGCATAAGTTTTAGCACATTCAATATCAAAGCAAATACCACATCTTTTACATTTTTTTCCTTTTTTCATAGGTTTAGAGCAAAGACTGCATTGAGGATTATGTTTATTGTCTTTGTAGTCTTTAAGTTCATGAACACGAAGATCAGTTTGCATTTTTAAAAGTTGGTTGTTTGTAACTACAATTATATAAACTTTTTTATCGTATATACTAAATGTAATGGTAATAATTGAAGTTTCATGAGAAAGACTAATTAAAGGTTTAACTGTTTTTTCATTAACAACAAAAGCAGAATTAGCACAAACAGCAACAATAAATTCACCAAAATTACAAATACGTTCAATATTACTTTGTATTAATTTATTTAATTTCATTGTAAGGTTAAGGTTATAAATATATATTTTATTCGGATTTTCTTTATCAATTGCATAAATCAAGTGATTTACTACAATAACTTGTTTGACAAAGTGGTCACAATAACAAATATTCTTTAATTTAGGTAAATAAGTAACTAGCCTATCTTCTTTATCTTTGAATATAATAAGGTCATCAACCATAAATATATTACCATCAACTTTACATGGTAATGTATCAATCAATTTTTTATTATCATTTACTATTTCGGTTAATTCTCCAGATTCATTTAATACCAATATTCCCTTTTGACTCTGTCCAATATTTGTAATTCCTTCAATTTCATATGTTTTATTAACTCTAGAAAGTAAAACAATACTATTATTACTAGCAACACAAAATCCAAATGAAGTTTGTGTTGAATATTTTACATCAATGTCTAAGGAAAATTCAGGTACGAATGTTTTATGTTTTAGTAATGACACTTCTTGACTTCCTTCTTGTGTGGTATAAACGATAACAATCCCATCTTCTATTATTCCTACATCACTTATATTTCTATCACTTAATATTACATCACTATTCGTTGAGTCTAAAACACCACTTAATAATTTTGATGAAGACTTCCTTCCTTTAAATATTTTTGATTTACTATCTGTTTGAGATAATAATGAATTAAGTGGAGGATGGGGTGTTGATGAATAAGTTCCAGAAGAGGTATTACTACTTAAAGCATTTAATGGGTTAATACATGAACTACTTGATTTAGAAAATATACCATTATTTGTATCATTTAGAACAGTTGATAATGAATCACTTTTTTCAATTATTGGAGTACAAGAATTTCTATTTGACTTTTGAATTTGTTTAGGAGCAAGTGGGTTGTCAAGTCCTTCTGTAGTATTTTGTATTGTTTTATCATCTGTTTTTACAATATCACTAATTATACTAGAAATTAATTGTGGTCTATCCAATCTTCTATTAGTTCTAAGAGGTTTATTTTTTTCAATAATAGACCGTATTTTTTGTTCTCTACTTGACATAATTTTTTTTTGACGAGAATTATCTTCTTCTATCTTTTTCTTAAGTTCTTCTATTTCATTATCTTTTAATTTAATATCATTTTGTAGATTAATACTTTCAGTCTTCATTAATTCAATTTTTCGCATAAGCTCTTGCGAATTTTTTCTTTCTTTTTCAACTTCTTCATTAATTTTAGTTGTTTCTACTTTTGTTGCAGTTAACTCTCTTCTTAACTCATCTACTTTACGAGTCATTAAATTTAATTGCATCATTGCATCATCTCTTGTGGCATCTAAACTTTCTTTCATATTAAGACCAGTAACTTTACCATTTTTTATAACAATTTCTACTGCTGCACACATTGTCATATTACTGCACATAGTTTTTTGTGCTAATCTCAATTCATTTAATTCTTGTAATGTTTTATTATGAGCAATTTGTTCATTTTGGTACGCTTCAGTAATTTCATTGAAACTTTTTGAACTTTTGTCATATCCCTCTTTAAGTTCTTTAATAATTTCTTGTGCCTGACTAACGTGTTGCTTTAATTTGGTTTCATTTTGAGTAGAATGTCTTAACATTTCTTGGTAGTTTTTAAGTTTTTCATCATACAGAGTTTTGAACTCTTTCATTTGTTCAAAAAGATCACAGATGGTATTATGGTAAATAACTGTAAGTTCATAATCATCATAGTCATTTGGATCAAAACCATCACTATTAAACAGTTCCAATCCTCCAAACTCCTCAGAAGAACTTTTTGACTCTTGGCTAGAGAGTTCTTGAGATTGATTACTTGACAAAGATCCAGATTGTTCATTGTCTTCACTCATTCCTTTTTATTAGTATTTATAAGATTATCCTTTCAATTAATAATTATTATTATTTAACTCCAATTACTATTATTAAATTATTTATTATCAAAAAATAATCTTAATAAAGATTTTGTTATTATTTTCTCTCAAACCATTTATATAAAAAGAATAAATTTACAAAAAATTTTAAATTTCTGACTTTTCTAAATAAAGACAAAAAATAGAGTAAAAATAAGACAAGTAAGAGAAGAATCAATGAAAAAGAAATAAATGGATTTACAATAATAAGAAATACATCTGTCATTCATGGTTATGTTCAAGTATCATTTTAGTAATATTCCATGTATTAGTATTTGCTCTATAATTCAAATTAATTCTAAAAGGACATTCAGTTTTCTTTGACCTTCTTTTTTTGACAGTTCGTTGTGGAGTAGAAGTTGTTGGTTGTCCTTCTTCACAACTTGAATTAGAAGCAGAAGAAGCACCTCTTGGAGAATATGAACAACTTCTATATTTACCACTACACTGACATACTAAAACAATTTTCTTTTTTGTTCCATCCTTCATTGTTTTATTATTACCACTTCCTTTCCTCAATACAACGTGTTGTGTTTCAGCCCAAGAAGTTAATACATTAATAGCTTCATTCATTGTGTCAAATTCTCTTTTACCTGTATATTCTTCTGTGACAAGAAATTCTTTTTCTTGAATAACTTTTTGAACACTTTTAATAGGAACAGAAAAACATCTTGGTTCGTTATCCTCTGACATATTTGTTCGTATAGGTTTTGATGATTGATATGGATATATGTCATATTCCTGTTTTATTGAGAAATCAGGTGAGTCAACTCGTTGTTTATAAATTGTTCTTTCGAATGATGAATAAGGAAAATAAGTGTCTGGAGAAATTGGTCTTATATTATCTCTATTTACATACAATGACCGTTGGTCTGACACATAATCCATTGGGTCTCTTCGTACTGTCATTATTGGAGGAGGTGGTGACATTCTTTGATAATAATATTGTTGTTGAGGAGAAGACATAGATGAATGTCTAGTTCTATCAACTGAAAAAGGAAATGGTGAAGGTTCATTTTCTGATGATAATTTTGCATATCTCACTGGAGATGTATAAATATTAGGAGAAGACGTTATAAAGCGATGTGTAAATGCTCGAGACTCTTGTTGTGTTTTATTTTGAGAAATATGATAATCAGGATATGTTTCCGATTGATTTGAAGAAATTGGATGAAGTTGTTGTAATGATTGTTGATGATATGTAGGACTTAGTGTACCATAATTTACTGCGGAATATCCAAAAGGATTAGTATAAGGTGGATTCATTTGATTATAATTTTTTAAAAGTTCTATTACATTTTTATTTAATTTTCATTTTAAGGGTTGTTTTTTTTTAATTTTTAATTTTTTTTTATTCATTATGTATTATAAAAACTTATTTATCATTTCTGTTTATTATTCTTCATTTTTCCTTTTTTAATATTTTCTTCTTTTTATTTTAGTGAATTTTGTTGTTTCTTCTTATTTTTTTCTATTAATAATTATTTTCACTATAACAAACCATTACCATTTTATTTGAACTACATTTTTCTATATATTTTTTATTTATTTAGTAATGTAAATAATTAATAGATATAAATAAAATGACAGCTAAAAAAAACTATTTTCTTAACGTAAATTATTAATAATCATTTGATTTAATTCGCAAAAATCTTTTTATGAGAATGATAAAATTTCTAACTGATTTAGAATATAAAAAAAGTTTTTAATGTTTTTTGCAATTTAACGAAATTTTATAAAATTAAGAATGTTAAAAACATAAAAATAATAAACAAAGTAGATTTTTCCTTTTTTGAAAGGAAATTTGATAGATATATTACTTTGAAGATTCAACTTACTGACATAGAACAAAATTCTTTAATAAAAAGAATTAATGAGTATTAGATAAGATAATTATTTTTATAAAAATTAATAAATATACCAGAAGTTAAAAAAAATAAGTTAGTAAATATTTTCTTTAAATAAACAATTCTATGAAAAATAATAAAAAAATAATCAATAACTTAAATTATTTAATATTACTTGATAAATTAATGTAGTGAAAAAAATAATTAACACTGATTTTAAAAAGCAGTTAATTCAATGATATTACACTTATTTTCTATTACTCTTTGCTTACCTTTGAATATTTACATCTTCTACTTTAAGAATGTTTATTCATTCTCTATTCTTTTATTCTTTATTATTTCATATTATTGAGAAGTGTGTCTTTCATTTATTCATTCCTTTATTTCTTTTGAATTAATATCTTTTCAAATTTCACCAACTTAATTATTCTTCATTTAAGTTGTTATTTGATTTTTTATTTTGAATTAAATGAATATTAAAATTTCTTATTCTTTATTTTCTTACATAGAATATATCATTAACACAATGTTTATGATTAATTTCTTTTATCATCACCATACAGTCCATTTCTCTTTGTTAATACTTTTATATCATCAAATATATTTGTGTCATAACAACTCAATAATAAATACTTCTTTATAACTTAAATTGTATTCTGGAATAAATAATCATCACTAACATTCTTGTATTATTGAGTAAGATGTTTTCTAATCAAAAGAAATGTTACAATCAACTAATAACTGGGAATTCAAAGCATTGACTCAGTTTAACATTTTTATTTTGTTTCTGATATAACTTTTTCAAATCCAAATCAAAAAAAAGTAAATTTAATATAATAAACAGAGAATAATAAATACTATTTATTTTAATTATTTTTTAAAACTATCAAATAATAAATTGAAAATGTCCAAATAAACTAAAAATAATATAATGATTAGAAGTAATTTACTTAATTTAAATACACTTTTAGTAATTCTTTGTTTACAGTCTTTCGTTTATTTTTAATTCTCTTTGATAATTTCTCACGTTTTAATGAAATTAAATAAGAAATAATGAATATTATTATTAATAAAGACAACACTATTACAATACAACTAATACTAAAGATAAGTATTATATTAGTTTTTGATAATACACATGTAGTTTTATCTTTATTAATAGAATATCCAGGTTGACATTTAATACATGACACTCTATTTTTATCAGATGTATCTTCACAAAAAAGACAATAACTTCGACCACTCATTGGTTGATAATATCCTGGTTCACATTGTTTACATGAACTTTGTCCACTAACATTTTGATAATACCCTCCATCACATTGTTTACAATAGGTATTTTTTTCTCCTTTTGAATATGTTCCTATTGGACATATTAAACATGAACTTGCTCCAATTCTATCTTGATACATTCCATCCCCACAATTTTTACATGTTTTTTGACCTTTTAAGTCTTGATATGTTCCTAATAAACAATATTTACATTTACTTATTCCATCATAATCTGCATATGTCCCAATATCACATTCTTTACAATATGTTGAACCGGTTTCATTTTGGTATGTTCCTGCAAAACATTTTTTACATTCTTGTCCTCCTTCATGTTCTTGATATGTTCCAGCTGGACATAAATCACAAATCCCTGATCCTTCTTTATTTGAATATGTTCCTACTGGGCATAAATGACAAAATGAATCTCCTTTATTTGAATAATACCCTTTCCCACACTTAACACACTCATTCATTCCTTCTCGTTCAGCATATGTTCCATTCTCACATAACGTACATTCTTTACTTCCTTCTCTATTTGAAATTGTTCCAATAGGACATATTTTACATTCCATTGACCTTGTTTCATTCTGGTAATGTCCTTCACTACATAATTCACATTCAATACTTCTTCGAAGTTGAGAATATGTACCAACTGGACATTCTTTACATTGGACTGACCCTTCTTCGTCTTGATACTCCCCTTCAAAACATTCTTTACATTCTTTTTGTCCTTTTTCATCTTGATACATTCCTTTAGAACAATTATAACATCTATCACTTCCTTTCATTGAAGAATAAGTACCAACTGGACATTCTTTACAATATAATTGCCCTTCTATATTTTGATATGTTCCTTCTTCACATAAAAGACATTGGTTATTCACAAAATAAGACCCTTTTGGACAAGGCAAACATTGTTCTGTTCTTTCATCAAATAACTCTCCTTCTGAACATTCTTCATTTTCTTCATTAGAACTACTAGACCCACTTTCAATAAATATTTCATAAGTAGTTGATTGAACTAAAAAGATAAGAGAGAAAAATGAGATGCAATTGATTAATGTTCTTTTCATTTGTTTCTATAAAAAAAAACAAAAAATTTTAGAGGTTATAAAAAAGTATTATTATTATTATTTTATAGTTTAGAATAGGTTTTTTTTACTAGGAATTTTTCAAATTTCTTTTCTTATGGAAATTTCTAGAAAAAAGAATTTTTTTAATTTTTTGAATAAAAATAATACAAAAATACTAACTAAAAATATTTGAATTTTTTATAAAAAAAGTTTAAGAAATAAATCAAATAAGAGAAACCCTATATTTTTTTCTCATAATTCTATAATTTTTTAATATTCTCTCAAAGGAATATTTATTATGTTTTTTCATTCTTTAATCAAAAAAGTATATCTGTTTTGAAGAAGAAAAAAATTGTTCGTTCTTAATACTAAAAATAATAAATGTAAAACATATTCACAGAACATTAATCAAAAAAAAGGTCAATTATTAGATACATCCATAATTGAATTTTATGATTATTGAGAAGTGATTATT